GGTAGCAAGTACCTATAAGGTAATCCATAATCGTTTTATTAAAAGAAAGAAAAAGCTATATTTTTTATACAATTTTTACTACACATTTACAAATAAATCATACAATCGGGTACAATTGCATACAATCGCGTACAATCACGTACAATCAATTTTAATCGAACAATCGGGTATGCAGCGATCTGCAAATTTATCAAAAGTCACATCAATATTCAAACCGCGATAAAAAATATTGAATAATAAATAATTTGTATAATAAAAAATGTCAGTTGTATTTTAGGATATAATATTTAGCTTAGAAATGAAAACTGTCTTTTCTTGCAAAACATAGATAGTCCTATTATTTTTAAATCGATAACCAGGTAAAGAAATTTGGCGTATTATCATAATACAGTAATATTATAGACAGGGTTGTAAATGTAAACTTATCGATAGTAAGTTACTAGTAAATTATCGTAAGTTACCAAATTATTGCGGAGTTAAACTTAATTTTGGCTGGCATTAACTTTATATATATAGTCAATTTTTTTATAACGAACTGACAGTAGGGTTGTCAAATTACCGTAATTTTATGTAATTTTATGTAATTTTGCGTAAGTTTACGGTAAGCTGATTTTCATGTAATTTGTAATTTTGAGCATGCATAATTTTTTAAAATAACTCTGGGAGCTTGCGTTCAATATTTTGACATAATTTTTATATCATAAAAATTAAGTGTCACATGTATTAAATATCACGTATAATATAAATAATAATCTAAAATATTTGTTGTACCAGGTACTGAATACAGAGTTATGTAATTATCGTTCATTCAATTCATTGTAATAATTGTTCGCTTAATTTATTAAAAGTCATTTATAAACAATTGTTCGCTCAATTTATTGTAATATTTATTCGCTCAATTCATTGTAATAATTGTTCGCTCAATTCATTAAAAGCCATTTTTATACAAGTGCCATTTTATAATGGTCCAGAATAAAAACTTTGAAATGTGGGAGGAGTATGATAAGCGAATTGATGAAAAGGGAAAAGAACGTTACAAGTGTAAAGCATGTAAAAAAGAATGGGCAAAAAATGCAACTCGATTGCAAGAACATTTACAAACCTGCACTGTTAGAAATTTAACATCAAATGAGTCATCTGAATCATCTAGTACTAATAATAAACGAAAACAACCAGCCTTGGATAACTTTGCTCAACAAGATCAACCCGAATTGGAATCATTACTTGCCCATGCTTTTTTTACTTCTGGAATTCCATTCAACGTAATTGAAAACGATGATTTTCGTATTTTTCTTAAAAAGGCTTGTCCTTCTTTTAAGATTCCATCACGTAATACTCTCTCTAGTTCACTTCTTAATAAGGAATATACTGATTTACAAGTAGTCATTCAAGACGTTCTCAACGAATCACCTTACCATTGCTTAGTTAGTGATGGTTGGTCAAATGTTAATAAATCATCTGTCATTAATTATATGATTACTACACCTGCTCCGATTTTTTACAAATCGGTTCATACTAATGAAGAGCATCATATGGTTGAAAATATTGCTAAAGGAATAGAAAATGTAATGGAAGAAATTGGAATTAACAAATTTGTTAGTGTAATTACGGACAACACGAATAATATGAAAGCTGCATAGAATATTTTAAGAATGAAATATCCTGATAAAGTTTTTCTTGGATGCTGGGCACATGGAATTAATCTTTGGGTTAAAGATATTCTTAAGAACGAATGGGCTGCGCAAATCTTAAAAAAAAACCAAAGACCTAGTTTTATTTTTTCGTAATCATTTAATTCCATTAGCTATTCTTTATCGTTTACAAAAAGAAATATATAATCTTGAAATTGCACTTACTTTAACTGTTGATACCAGATGGACATCATCTTTCGAATGTCTTGATCATGTTCTGCGAGCACGGTCTGCAATATATGCTGTATTAGCTGAGGATAGTATCGAAATCAATGATAATGTTAAAGAAACAATTTTAGATTATGGATTTTGGATAGATCTTAAAAAACTACATGATTTTTTAGAGCCATTTATTATTTTTATACGCCAATTAGAAAGCGATGAGCCATATCTTTCATTGGTGTATAAAACTTTGCAAAACTTAAAAAATAAAGTTACAAATAATTCTCAAATTCCTGAAGAATTACGTGATGATACTTTGCAAGCGGCTAGAAATAGATGGCTTAATTTTTTATATAATCCAGCAGTTATTGTTGCATATATCCTTGATCCGAGATATCAGGGTGAAGGTCTTGATTCTACTACGCGGGGAAATATAATTAATACTGAAATACTTAGGATTGCAGGCAAGTATTTCAAAATTTTTTAATCAGATATTTATATAAATAGTCAAACAAACCTTAGTATTAGTAATCCAAATTATTAATATATGTTCAGTATATATGTATGATGTATGTATGTACGAACATATGTACTATATATATATAGTTAATATCTAACTAAATGCAGGTGCCGATAATGAAGATCAAGTATTAAATGAGTTGTCCGAATATATTGGAAAATCAGGAGGTTTTGCCAAGAAATATTTGTGGAATGATCTTACTTTAAAACCACTTAACTGGTGGAATCTTTTAGGTATACATACGTAGAATTTGCAAATTCGATTTTCAAATTTAAATTTTAATGCTACTGTTATTATTTTTTTTTAACAATTCGAATTTAAATTCAGATTCAAAAACTAAACTTGATTCCAAACTCTAGGTATGCAATACCCAATTTTAAGTCAGGTTGCATGAAAAGTTCTATCAATTCCAGCTACTTCAGCTGCAAGTGAAAGAAATTGGTCCTCTTACGGATTTATCTATTCAAAATTGCGTAACCGATTGCTTACTCAAAAGGCAGAAAAACTGGTTTATATATATTGGAACACAAGAATTCTTCGTCAATTAAAAAGGTCTATTTTAGTAAAAGATTTGCAAAGTGATAATATAGTTGAACAAAGCAATAATCAGAGTGGTGATGAAAATGAAAAGCCTGAAGACAATTTTGTTGACTTTTCAAACAGGCTTCTTAATATGTTTGATAATGATGAGCATGATAATTATCTTGAAGAATAAATTTCATTTATTGTATAAACTTGCATCGTTATAATTACAATAAATTTGACAGTAAACTTATTTGCGTATTTCATAATTCTAGCTGGAGTTTATGTAGTGCTGGCATAGTATATCACGTGTGTAATTTACATGAAATTCAATTTACTGAAACTTACGTAAAATTACATGAAATGTAAAATTGTAATTTTTGTAATACAACCCTAACTGACAGTTCTGAAAGAAAAAAGTTCACTAGAAAATTATGCCATTACAATCATATGTATAATCTTGGCTGATCATATGTATAATATTGGCTGATCATATTGGCTGATCATATGTATAATCTTGGCCAATTAAAAATTTTTATCATGGTAATTTACCATGGTAATTTACTATAATTTTTAGTAACTTACGGTAATTTTATAACCCTGATTATAGAATTATGAAATACGCAAATAAGTTTACTGTCAAATTTATTGTAATTATAACGATGCAAG